AAAACTACGTGGCCGGGAGTCAGAGCCATTCCCTGTACACCTTGGGGTGCGACAGGGATGCCCTCTGGCTCCCACATTATTTAACATCTATTTTGACCACGTAGTTCGTGAAGCCTTCAATAGCTGTACCGGGGGAATCTCCATATGGTACAGATATAATGGGAGGCTAATCGATGCCCGGGTGCGGTCAGGGGATGGCTCCCTATTGCTCAACCACGTTATGTATGCTGATGATTTGGTAATAGCTGCTCAGTCAGAGGAGGAGTTGGAGACGCTGCTGCTGAGACTGGAGCGTGCCACTAAGAGGTGGGGCCTTACCATCAGCCCCACCAAAACTAAGCACCTGCCTGGGTATTTTGTACCATCGGACACTCCACCCCCACAACTCCCAATCGGTGATGGGGCAGTTGTGGAGAGAGTGGAGAGTTTCCCATACCTGGGCAGTGTGCTTATGACCGGCTCCAGTTTAACAGCAGATGTCTCACTCCGAATCAGTCGAGCGGCAATATCTTTTCATCGGTTGCGTAACGCTGTGTGGAAGCTACCTGGTCTGTCGCTCCGCACTAAGCTTCAGGTCTTCTCGGCCACGGTCATTCCCTCCCTTCTCTACGCTTGCGAAACGTGGACCCCCCCTAATGGAACATCTTCGCCGGTTAGAAACATTTAGGCTGGCCTGCCTACGATCCATCCTGGGTTTAACCAGACTGGATTGTGTGAGGAGCTCACAAATCCTTGAAAGATCTGGGCAGGGTCCCATCGGTGAGCTCCTCCGGCAGGCAAGGCTGCGATGGCTGGGTCATGTAGCCCGCATGCCCAGCCACCGCATGCCGAAACAGCTTTTGTTTGGCCGGATTGAGGGGGCTAAGCGGGCGCGGCACGGGCTAGAGAAGAGATGGAGTGATGTGGTACAGGAGGACGTGGAGCTGAGTGGACTTGCCGATGACTGGTACCAGCGGTGTCAAGATCGGCCTCTGTGAAGGAGGCTCGTGAAGGATGCTACTGGGCAGTTGGAGGTAGTCGCCCTCCAACAACAACGGAGGACGGAGGAGCGACGCTCAGAACAACGAGTGGAGCGCCGGGTGGCTAAAGCACAGCATGTTGGCACAGTAGGGGGCACAGGTGGTGCATCAGCCAGTCATCTCAGTCAGTCGACCCGTGGCATCTGGGTCTGCCCCGTGACCTCCTGCCAGCGGGCGTTCGACACTTCACGTGGCCTCAGGGTGCACATAGCCTGGCACAAGCGTCGTGGTGACGTCACCGCCACTTAGTGGCGAATGGCGGTTGTTATTGTTGTTGTGTGAGAGTGTATGTGTGTGTGTGAGTGTGTGAGTGAGTGTGGAGTTTGGATGTTCTCTCCCCTGTTCTGCATGGCTCGCCACAGGACAACACAAAAGTGAACACGTTGCAGTGTTGTCGGTATTAGACAGACATCCCAATGCTTGAAACATGACCTGAAAATCACTCACCAGCGGGGATCACGCATACACAGACACACACAGATACACACAGACACACAGATACACAGACACACACAGATACACGCAGACACACACAGATACACACAGACACACACAGATACACACAGACACACACAGAGACACACAGACACACACAGATACACACAGACACACACAGATGCACACAGACACACACAGACACACACAGAGATAAAGATCCCCCGTATAGCCTTAACAGACTGTAGGGGCAAGTGCTGTTAGCGAGCACCTATGAAGGCCGGAACGGCATACAAGGGGGTGGGTGGCCAGCACCACGCCCGGCCGCCTTTGTCTCCCCAGTGGCGATGTTTACTACATACCGCACTAGGTACTCATTTGAGGCTGAGTCGACCTAGGGGAGGCCCGGGCCCGGTTCAGATAATAGTCACTGGTGTTTGCCGTGAGCGGGGATCGAACCCGGGTCGCAGAGTTTATACCACGACACGACCGTGCAGACACAGACACACAAAGACGCAGACAGACAGACAGACACACAGACAGACACACAGACACACGCAGCAGCAGTGACATCACCGCTCCCCGAGTGCGAACCCTTGGCAGGGCCCTCCTGCGCGAGAGTCTTGAGACTCCGCTGCGCTCCGCCGGGCGACGGAGCGCAGCGTGAACAACGATCTCGCTGAATGTTGGCAGGCGAGCTGCTACGGCGGCGCCGGTGGCGGCGGCACTTCGCTGCACCTGGAGGGCGCGACGCTCGCCAGTTCGGCGACCGAGGGGCGGGACGGCGGTGGCGCCGGCCCCCCCGAGGCGCCGCTCAGCGGCCAGCACCGCCTCGCCCGCGCTGCCACCCCTTCTTCGTCCTCGTCGGCGTTCCGATCGCGGCTCCCCGCCCCGCGGTGCCACCCGTCGAGGACGCTCGGCACGCCGGGCGAGCGGCACTGGTGAGGAACGCGCGGTTGATGGTGGTGGTGATGGTGGTGGTGATGGTTGTGGTGATGGTGGTGGTGATGGTTGTGGTGATGGTTGTGGTGATGGTGGTGGTGATGGTTGTGGTGGTGGTGGTGATGGTGGTGCGGTGGTGGTGGTGGTAATGGTTGTGGTGATGGTGGTGGTGATGGTGGTGGTGATGGTTGTGGTGATGTTGGTGCGGTGGTGGTGGTGGTCATGGTGCTGTTGATGGTGGTGATGGTGGTGGTGGTGTTGATGGTGTTGGTGGTGGTGATGTTGATGGTGTTGTTGATGGTGGTATTGATGGTGGTATTGATGGTAGTGGTAATGGTGTTCATGGTGGTTGTAATGATGGTGATGGTGGTGATGGTGTTCATGGTGGTGGGGATGTTGGTGGTGATGTTGATGGTGGTATTGATGGTGGTATTGATGGTGGTGGTAATGGTGTTCATGGTGGTGGTAATAGTGGCGGTGGTGGTGATTGTGGCGGTGGTGGTGATGTTGGTGGTGATGTTGGTAGTGATGGTGGTGGTTGATAGTGGTGATGGTGTTGATGGCGGAAGTGGTAAATGTGGCGGCTCTCTTAGCAGTGATCCTGTCCGCCGCCGCTGGGTCACGTGACGCGCACCCTGGGTCACGTGACGCGCACCCTGGGTCACGTGACGCTCACGCTGGGTCACGTGATGCTCACGCCGGGTCAAGTGACGCTCACGCCGGGTCACGTGACGCTCACCCTGGGTCACGTGACGCGCACCCTGGGTCACGTGACGCTCACGCCGGGTCACGTGACGCTCACCCTGGGTCACGTGATGCTCACGCCGGGTCAAGTGACGCTCACGCTGGGTCACGTGACGCTCACGCCGGGTCAAGTGACGCTCACGCTGGGTCACGTGACGCGCACCCTGGGTCACGTGACGCTCACCCTGGGTCACGTGATGCTCACGCCGGGTCAAGTGACGCTCACGCTGGGTCACGTGACGCTCACGCTGGGTCACGTGACGCGTCCGCTCTGTCCCCTTCTCCGTCACAGCCACCGTGAGGCGACGGGGGGGGGCCCCCGGGAAGAGGGGGAGGCGGGGGGCGAAGCGGAGGAGCCCCCAGGCGGGGGGCCGCTGGACGGCGCCCCACGACCGTCCCAGCAGGTACCACAGCCACCGCCCCTGGGTTCTAACCAAACCGCCACTCAAGTTGCTGTGGTGACACGTCACGCTCGGGTCGCCAGGCCGCGGGATCCAGGGTGGGGAGATACCGGTCAGTCGCTCGGCCATTGTCATCATCGTCTTCATCATCGCCGTCGTCATCATCATCGTCTTCATCATCGCCGTCGTCATCATCGTCGTCATCATCGTCATCATCATCGCCATCGTCGTCCTCATCGTCATCATCATCATCGTCATTATCTTCGTCATCGTCGTCGCCATCGTCGTCATCATCGTCATCATCATCGTCATCGCCATCGTCGTCATCATCGTCATCGTCGTCGTCGTCATCATCGTTGTCATCATCGTCATTATCTTCGTCATCGTCGTCGCCATCGTTGTCATCATCGTCGCCATCGTCGTCATTATCGTCATCATCATCGTCGTCATCATCACCGTCACCGTTGTCATCAGCCGGCGCTGGCCAGCGTTGGGTCGTGTGGGGTCCAAGCGGCCCCCGCGACCCGCACAGAGTGGGGAGGCCCCCCCCCCCCCCACCATCCAGCAGTGGATCGACCAGAGGGCCGTGCGTGAGCACCCACCTCGCCCACCTCACCCCTCTCATCCACCTCACCCCTCACCCTCCTCACCGCTCCCCTTCATCACTCCTCGCCCACCTCACCCTCCTCACTGCTCACTCGAGCCTTCACACCAGTCACCTTCTAATCCTCACCCCGCTCACCCTCTACACCGCACCGTCCGTGCCCTCCTCACTCTGGAGCCCTCGCTGCCGCCCCCATGGAGACCCGGAGTCTCTTGACGCGTCCACGGTGCCCGTCCTGCCCGCACCGCGCCTTTCCGTGCGGCCAAAACCGCGGCTTGCCACGCTGACCACGATCCCCAACCACGCGCGGCAGGAACCGGCGTCGTACCACGCTGCTTGCCGCTGCCGAAACGTCACCGCGGATCGCTCGATAGAGTCGCGCGCGTGCTCGTGACCGCGTCCGGTGGTGCGTGGTCGGTATTGTGCAGCCGGCAGAAAAAAAAAAGATTTTTGTTTTACCAGAAAAGACCCACTGAGTTGTGTAGCTCTTTTTCAGAAGCGACCTTGCTATCACAAATGATAGCTGAACGAAGTGGCTTATCGCGTGGAATTGTATAGTGGCAGCCAAAACAAACGCGTGCTGTTGATTCTGAATGTGGAGGAAAAAACCGTCAGGGTCGGGATAGAACCCACGACTTCCTGCGCATACCAGGTGAGGGAGTTAACATCTCCTATCTACCGTGGCGGGACTGGTCACGTGCCAGGACGACCCGTGGGCTTCCCAGGTGGCGACCTGGGTAAGCCTGGGTTAAACCGTAGGCCTGGGTGAGATCGTAAGCCTGGGTTAAACTGTAAGCCTGGGTTAAACCGTAGGCCTGGGTTAAACCGTAGGCCTGGGTGAGACCGTAGGCCTGGGTGAGACCGTAGGCCTGGATGAGACCGTAGGCCTGGGTGAGACCGTAGGCCTGGGTGAGATCGTAGGCGTGGGTGAGATCGTAGGCCTGGGTGAGACCGTAGGCCTGGGTGAGATCGTAGGCCTGGGTGAGACCGTAGGCCTGGGTGAGACCGTAGGCCTGGGTGAGATCGTAGGCGTGGGTGAGTACGTAGGCCTGGATGAGACCGTAGGCCTGGGTGAGACCGTAGGCCTGGGTGAGACCGTAGGCCTGGATGAGACCGTAGGCGTGGATGAGACCGTAGGCCTGGGTGAGACCGTAGGCCTGGGTGAGACCGTAGGCCTGGGTGAGACCGTAGGCCTGGGTGAGACCGTAGGCGTAGGAAAAGGCCGTGACCCTGTCTCTCCTCCCGACAGGAAGTCAACGACGTGGTGGCACCCGACTGGAGCCGGGGGCCCGCGCAGGAGGCAGCTGCGCCCGTCCCCACGAAGGCTCCGCTCGCAAAGTCCTCGTCGCTGTCGGCCATCCGCCTCCCTCGTCCCAGCCTTGAGAGTGAGCCCCCTCTCACCGTCGCCTGGGTCGGGCATCGGTTGTCAGTTTTGCCCGGGGGATTCACGCGAGCGCGCGGACCCACGGGCGGGTGCATGGACGACGGGGAGGCGTCCCGGACGGATGAGCGGCCAATGGTGGCGCCCTGCCCTGATTTGGCCGTCGGCACCGGCGTGTTTGCGAGAGGCGGCGGCAGCGCCGCCATCGGCGGCGGTGGTGGTCGGAGGAGGAGGCCTTCATCCAGCAGTGGACTGACCACGACTGACGATGACGAGGGTTTCTATGCCCGTGCCATCTTGTTTATTTTGTTAGCGTCTCTCTCTAGCTGGTTCTGCGGCTCCCCTCGTGCGGTGAGCTAAACGCACGAATCATTGGAGCGTGTCCACTCGCACGGTTTTTCACAAGAAGTGCTGCAAATGAACGGTTACAATGATGCACAAATCAACAGGGCATTAAATGCCAAAACCAAATCAAATAACACGAGCATTAAACTGCTCAAGTAACTGATAAACTAGCCAGATGTTTGGAAAAACAAAACATCCGAGTCAGATTTGGCACGGTACATAAAATACAGAAATTAATATATGGTACTAAAAATGTATTACCGAAGCTATCAACAGACGGTGTGTACAGGATTAACTGCACTTGTGGCAAATGCTGTGGTGGGCAAACAGGACGAATGATCAGCACGAGACTAAAAGAACACCAAGAAATATTAAATATGCCCAAATACAGCTGTCAATAGTAGCAAAACACACGTGCCAACAAGGACACTCAATTGATTTTGAAAATGTTGAAGTTCTGTGCAAAACTAGTTACTACTGGCCAAGACTAATTCGAGAATCTATAAAAATTGAAAGAAGTAAAAATAATTTTAACTATTCGGATAGCTACCGCCTTAGTGCTGCGTAGAAAGCCAATCATCAAATAAAACATTGTTTAAATGCATGCCTATACAGGCCACCATACTTCAATAGGGATTACCGTTGGTACGGCTATTTTAGTATACACACGATGGACAGGAAGGACAAGATCAAATGGCTCGCATAATCCACATGCATAATGTACGTTGACTCATGAATTCCCCTCCCACCACATTGCGCGAGAGCGCAGAAGCGTGGTCACCACATCTACGCCTCTTTATAAGGAACGGAACAGGAGGACTTCTCCACACATCTGGCTGTCGCCTGATGAAGCTAGTTGTAATTACTGGCGAAGCGTCGTACTCAGATTGTGAATGTTGTGGCTTGGCTCTCTAACACAGCGGTTAGTGCTGTACTAGTGACGAATTGGCACGTTCTGTTTACGTGGCAACCCTTACTAGTTGGCTGTGTCGGCTGGTGGCGGGTTTAACGACACATTTAGATATTTACGCGCTCTAACCCAAATAAACCTCTATTATGGAAGTACGTGTGGTTGCTGCAGACTCGATGCCGCCTTGCAAGAGGTGTGTCTGGGTGTTCTAACAGAAAGGGTAAAAACCCGTTCTCCTTCTTTCATCACAAACGGGGAAGGAAGTGGAGCGGTTTTCGCGTGGAGACGTCCAGTGTAATGGTTGGGCACAGAGGCCAGGTCACCAACGCGGTGGAACTGCAACGCGTCGCCATTTGTCTTCTAGAACCAGCCGTACTGCAACGGGGTCGACGAGGCGTGACGTTGACGGCCGTAGGGTTGCTGACGACTCCTCGCGATGACGAAACCGGTCGCTCGCCGTGTCTTTCGTCTCACCGGCGCCTGTCGAGATGGACGCACTTTCTCAGTTCTCTCTCCTCTCTCTCTCGTCGGTTCTAAATGGCGAGACGGCTGCACGTCCTAGCTTCTTGTGCTTCGGTGGTCTGGACAAGGCCGAGAGGAGGAGGCGTCTGTACGCGCGGGATGCCGCCAGGGCCGTGTTCAGGTTCTTGTGGGCCCTAGGCACTGATTTTGTTTGGTACTGCTGCAGTCCCATGTTACTACCGCCGGCGTCACTTTCCAAAACTTTACATTGATTAACCAGCGACAAATTGAGCAATCGTTGGAAGGACGTTATTAACCAGGTGAAATCTTAACTGCTTATGGTTGTTCCATCATATTTGCCGGTCACTAGTCTATTTTGCCGAGTCAGTTGCATCCCCAGCATTTGGCATTGCTACTGCTTTGGCAGATGCTTTTGCAGGTACTTTTTCATTGGCATTGTTGCTGCAGCCCCGCCTACGCTCCCCTCTGCCTACCCCCCTCCCTTGCTCCTCCCCTCTCCTGTCGGAAGCATCTCTCTCCCACTTCCCACCTGATGATGATTGCTTGTGTTGCAATCGAAACATCGTGATTTATTTATTTTATTTCCACCTACGTGACCTTACCGAAAGAACCAAAGAGTTTAGGGTGTATCTTGCCATCTTGGGAATGAATTGTGAAGGGTGGAGCGTTCTTTTTCGAAGCTGATAAAAAAATAAAACTGTCTCTGACCAACCCGTAGGACAGCAAGGCCGCATGGTCTCTCCATTGAGAATGAGATTGTGCGACAAACGCCATTTGAAGAAGTTATTTGCTATTTTGCAATGAACAAAAAGATCTCCCCAAAAGTTCATCTCCGATGTTAACTTCTGTCACCTTGTGAGAATAAAAGCGATCGACATTGGCCTGACTCTGCCTCTGCGTCTATACACTGTGCTTATCCTGGCTCGAAGAATATATTTTTTTCAAGAAGATATCTTGGTTAAAATTTTGTACCATGCAAACTAAAAACGCCCGAGACACCGTGCCAAATGTGGCCTGTTGGATAATGCCGCCCTGGTTTTCCCCTCCGCGTTCATGATGGACGTCGCCTGATTTTAAGAGTACATCGCTGCTATGAACGTCCACGTGACGATGACGAAGCCACACTTTGGTGAGGTTCAGCGACGCCGCTCCGTTCACAATTCAGCCGCTGACCGATTTCCTCCCCTTCCTGTCGTGGTGGGCGCAGGGTCGCTGAGCGGCTCGTCGGACACGAGTTTGCCGGACACGAGGTGATTCCCTCCCACCACCACCACCGGTGCGTCGCCTCGCGTGCGGCGACGCCTTCTGTAGGGCATCAACGGTGGTGGCGGCGCAGTGGCGACGCTCGCGAATCGAACCCAAGAATCGCCGGGGTTCGATTCCCGACTTGGGGTGCACTTTTATGCGTGGGGTTTACGTGTTCTCCCCCTTGTTCTGCAGTGAGTGAGTGAATGAGTGTGAGTCAGTGAATGAGTGTGTGGGAGTGAGTGGAGTTTGTATTCTCTCCCACTGTTCTGAAGTGACTGAGTTAGTGAATGATTTTGTGAGAGTAAGAGTGAGACTGTGAGTGAGTGGAGTTTGTATTCTCTCCCACTGTTCTGCAGTGAATGAGTTAGTGAATGATTTTGTGAGTGTAAGAGTGAGACTGTGAGTGAGTGCAGTTTGTATTCTCTCCCACTGTTCTGCAGTGACTGAGTTAGTGAATGATTTTGTGAGTGTAAGAGTGAGACTGTGAGTGAGTGGAGTTTGTATTCCCTCCCCCTGTTCTGCAGTGACTGAGTTAGTGAATGATTTTGTGAGTGTAAGATTGAGACTGTGAGTGAGTGGAGTTTGTATTCACTCCCCTTGTTCTGCAGTGACTGAGTTAGTGAATGATTTTGTGAGTGTAAGAGTGAGACTGAGTGAGTGGAGTTTGTATTCTCTCTCCCTGTTCTGCAGTGAGTGAGTTAGTGAATGACTTTGTACGAGTGAGACTGTGAGTGAGTGGAGTTTGTAGTTTCTCCCACTGTTCTGCAGTGACTGAGTTAGTGAATGATTTTGTGAGTGTAAGCGTGAGACTGTGAGTGAGTGGAGTTTGTATTCTCTCCCACTGTTCTGCAGTGACTGAGTTAGTGAATGATTTTGTGAGTGTAAGATTGAGACTTTGAGTGAGTGGAGTTTGTATTCTCTCCCACTGTTCTGCAGTGACTGAGTTAGTGAATGATTTTGTGAGTGTAAGAGTGAGACTGTGAGTGAGTGGAGTTTGTATTCTCTCCCACTGTTCTGCAGTGACTGAGTTAGTGAATGATTTTGTGAGAGTGAGACTTTGAGTGAGTGGAGTTTGTATTCTCTCCCACTGTTCTGCAGTGACTGAGTTAGTGAATGATTTTGTGAGAGTGAGACTTTGAGTGAGTGGAGTTTGTATTCTCTCCCCCTGTTCTGCAGTGACTGGGTTAGTGAATTATTTTGTGAGTGTAAGAGTGAGACTGTGAGTGAGTGGAGTTTGTATTCTCTCCCACTGTTCTGCAGTGACTGAGTTAGTGAATGATTTTGTGAGAGTGAGACTTTGAGTGAGTGGAGTTTGTATTCTCTCCCCCTGTTCTGCAGTGACTGAGTTAGTGAATGATTTTGTGAGAGTGAGACTTTGAGTGAGTGGAGTTTGTATTCTCTCCCCCTGTTCTGCAGTGACTGGGTTAGTGAATTATTTTGTGAGTGTAAGAGTGAGACTGTGAGTGAGTGGAGTTTGTATTCTCTCCCACTGTTCTGCAGTGACTGAGTTAGTGAATGATTTTGTGAGAGTGAGACTTTGAGTGAGTGGAGTTTGTATTCTCTCCCCCTGTTCTGCAGTGACTGAGTTAGTGAATGATTTTGTGAGTGTAAGAGTGAGACTGTGAGTGAGTGGAGTTTGTATTCTCTCTCCCTGTTCTGCAGTGACTGAGTTAGTGAATGATTTTGTGAGTGTAAGAGTGAGACTGTGAGTGAGTGGAGTTTGTATTCTCTCCCCCTGTTCTGCAGTGACTGAGTTAGTGAATGATTTTGTGAGAGTGAGACTGTGAGTGAGTGGAGTTTGTATTCTCTCCCCCTGTTCTGCAGTGACTGAGTTAGTGAATGACTTTGTGAGTGTAAGAGTGAGACTGTGAGTGAGTGGAGTTTGTATTCTCTCCCACTGTTCTGCAGTGACTGGGTTAGTGAATGATTTTGTGAGTGTAAGATTGAGACTTTGAGTGAGTGGAGTTTGTATTCTCTCCCACTGTTCTGCAGTGACTGAGTTAGTGAATGATTTTGTGAGTGTAAGAGTGAGACTGAGTGAGTGGAGTTTGTATTCTCTCCCACTGTTCTGCAGTGACTGAGTTAGTGAATGATTTTGTGAGAGTGAGACTTTGAGTGAGTGGAGTTTGTATTCTCTCCCACTGTTCTGCATGGGATTCCTCCGGCTTCTCTGGTTTGCTCCTCCCATGGCTAATCCAATACCAGCAGCCGCCATTCGCCGTTAAGTGCCGGTGACGTCACCACCGCGCCCGTGCCAGGCCAGGTGCACTTTCAGGCCACGCGAAGCGTCGAAGGCTCGCTAACGGGAGGTCACGGGACAGACCCAGCAGGTGCCATGGGTTGGCCGACCGAGATGTCGCACACATTTCCCTGCTGACACATCACCAACAAATCATTCACACACGGCGGCAGCAGCAGCAGCAGCAGCAACATCGCCCGCCCCCCGTCCTGCGAGTAACTTTGCCAGGGCCTCCCCGATAGCCTCGGCGCTCGGCGAGGCTGCCGCAGGCGAACCGGCGGAGCCGCTGAACCGCTGACGTGCCGGGCCGCCACTTGTCCCCGCCCCCCCCCCACCCCCCGTGTGTGCAGGGAGCCCCCCGCGTCCCGCCGCTCGTCGCTCCCCGAGGGGGGCGAGCGGCCGGGCTGGGAGCTCCTCCCGGACTCTCCCTGCTCCATGTACGGCTCCCGCTCCTCGCTCACCGAGGTCCTCGAGGAGTGAGTGGTGCCCCCCCCCCCCCCGTGACCCCACACACACCCCCACACACAACCCCACCCACCTACACCTACTCACACCCCCACACACACCCACTCACACCCCCACACAACCACACACAACAACAACCGCCATTCGCCACTAAGTGCCGGTGACGTCACCACGACGCTTGTGCCAGGCCATGTGCACCTTGAGGCCACGTGAAGTGTCAAACGCCCGCGGGCAGGAGGTCGCGGGGCAGACCCAGGTGCCACGGGTCGACTGACTGAGATGACTGAGATGACTGGCTGATGCACCACCTGTGCCTCCTACTGTGCCAACCTGCTGTGCTTTAGCCGCCCGGCGCTCCGCTCGTTGTTGTGAGCGTCGCTCCTCTGCCCTCCGTTGTTGTTGGAGGGCGACTGCCTCCAACTGCCCAGTAGCATCCTTCACGAGCCTCCTCCACAGAGGCCGATCTTGACACTGCTCGTTCCAGTCATCGGCAAGTCCACTAAGCTCCACATCCTCCTGTACCACATCACTCCATCTCTTCTCTAGCCCGTGCCGTGCCCATTTAGCCCCTTCGATCTGGCCGAACAAAAACTGTTTCGGCATGCGGTGGCTGGGCATGCGGGCTACATGACCCAGCCAACGCAGCCTTGCCTGTCGGAGGAGCTCACCGATGGGACCTTGCCCAGATCTTTCAAGGATTTGTGAGCTCCTCACACAATCCAGCCTAGTTAAACCCAGGATGGATCGTAGGCAGGCTAGCCTAAATGTTGCTAACCGGCGAAGATGTTCCATTAGGGGGTCCACGTTTCGCAAGCGTAGAGAAGGGAGGGAATGACCGTGGCCGAGAAGACCTGAAGCTTAGTGCGGAGCAACAGACCAGGTTGCTTCCACACAGCGTTACGCAACCGATGAAAAGATATTGCCGCTCGACTGATTCGGAGTGAGACCTCTGCTGTTAAACTGGAGCCGGTCATAAGCACACTGCCCAGGTATGGGAAACTCTCCACTCTCTCCACAACTGCCCCATCACCGATTGGGAGTTGTGGGGGTGGAGTGTCCGATGGTACAAAATACCTAGGAAGGTGCTTAGTTTTGGTGGGGCTGATGGTAAGGCCCCATCTCTTAGTGGAAGGCTACAGTCTCAGCAGCAGCGTCTCCAACTCCTCCTCTGAATGAGCAGCTATTACCAAATCATCGGCATACATAACGTGGTTGAGCAATAGGGAGCCATCCCTTGACCGCACCCGGGCATCGATCAGCCTCCCATTATATCTGTACCAAATG